TAGCTTCGCCACATGCTGCATGTACCTGTCCCAAGTCAGGATCCTGTAATTAAGTGGTTGTTATTTATTTCGTTGCTGAACATCATATTTGTTTTTAGTTTATTGTTTTGTACTTAGATAAGACGTAAGTGTATATGTCTTAATTGTTTTACATTTCGGTTTTTTAGTTAGCTTATGTGATGCGGGTTTTGTTCATTTTTGAAGGCCGTACAGTGACCTATGATAATGACTTCTACGCCATTTGGTCTCTGGTGGTCTCTGGTTTTTAAGTAATGCTAGCTGTTAAAGAACTTTTTGACAGATTTTATCATAATCTAGCCCAAAGTACTTTTGCAATAACCTTGCATCCGTCGTTATCCGTTAACTTTTACAATTTTATCTCATTCTCTAAAATCCCTCGCCCGCTCGGAACAAAACCGATATTTATTTTATGTATTTATTTATTATACAAATGTAAAAGAGAAATAACTTTAATAAATAGAAATTAATGTTTCAATTAATATTAAAGTAATCCTGACATAATTTTATAATCTGATTGCAAAATTTCAGAGTATTATATGTAGTCTTTTTTAATTCTTGAAGTATTACTTGCTGTTATATGTCGTCTGTTATAATTCTTGGAGTATGACTTGCTGTTATGATATATAAAACATATTTCTCTACATATATACATTTTTTAATACAGCGGTAATTTATTTATTCATTGTTTTTAACCTATAAACAGAGACTAAAAACATGTAAAAAACTCAGAATTAAATTTCTCTACCACGAACAGGTGCATATCCAAAAGGCTTGTTTTTTCACTTTACCAATTTCTAAATTGTTTTACCAAAATGCAGTTTTAATTCATCTCTACAAACTGATCAACTGCAGTTCAAATAATAATGTCGCCATGGAAGGCTATTTGTTTTTGCTGTGACCCTTTCCTTAGACGTCAAAAGGTTTTTCAACCATTTTTTTATTCGGTCGCCGCTGATGAGTATTATATAGACTAGACGCGTGCTTGTCGTACCAAATTATAAGCTTGGTATCTTTGAGGAGATTTTTTGTATCGAATTTCAATGGTGCAGGAGTTTTCTCAAAAGCCTATTATAGACTTAGTAAATAAACCATATAAAATAATAGTATGTCAATAACTTATTATGACATATCAATGATGCACCATGGCTTTAGGTCTTTTATCAAGTATTGTATAACATAAGGAGATGTGGTATGAATGATAGCGAGACAACCATCCACAAGAGACCAAATGACGTTGATGTTAACAACTATAGGTCACCATACGGCCTTCAGCAATTCAAAAATGAGCAAAGCCTATACAGCATAGTAAGCTTTAAAAGGTCCCGATATAACAAAATGTTAAACAAACCAAAAAAAAATAAACGACATATGATATGCAGCATCAAACGACGACCACTGAATGACATGCTCCGGACTTGGAACCGGCACATAAAGAATAAGCCGGATTTAAACATGTTTGCGGGTGCCCAACCCTTCCCTAACCTGTGACAGTAATAGTGGTGTTACATCACAACTAGACAATTTTAGTCAGGTTTGTTAAATACGGAGTCACTACATTTCATACTTGATTAACTTTGTTTGTGTTTGACTTCTAGTTGCATACTATATATTTCATAATTGATAAAATTAAGAAATACTCCCAGTACTAATTCTTCTTTATGATTTTTATTAATACCGCAAATTCAGACTATAAACAAAAAAGTTTTGGATAACTGTTTTGCATATTTGTCCAAGCAACTATAGTAAAAATTTCAAACAACAAACATCATCATAATCTAACATTTGGTGAATCAACACTAATAACATGATATTTCGCTGTAATAATCAAAGTTGGTCTAGTCGTCAGGTTTGAAAAAAGTTACAATAAGAAGTTAAGATTGATCATTTTAAATCAAATGATTAGAGTAATTCGATAGAATTAAAAATGGAAGTATTTTCATTATTCTATGGAATGCTTGATAACAGAAGTTTCTCTACGAATAAGACTGTGTTTCAAGACCTCAAACAATTTAAAAGTATTGGCTTGTGAGGTTGCCCATTCTTAACGCTGATAAGTGAAAAAAATAAATAAAACCTCCAAATTACATGTTTTAATACCCCATTTAACCTCATTTCTTATTCATATCCAATTACAAAAAGTAAAAAAAAAAATAAAAAAATACAGGAATCGTAATTGGAAGAAGACAGAAAATACCATGGCCAACTGAAAGGGATTAAATAACATACAACCGCCAACAAAACAGTACCCTTATTACACATTGAACAAAATTAAGCAACAATTGATGCGAAATGCTCCGGAAAGAGGCAATGTTCTGATCAAACAAACTCTTCAAAATCGTGTATTTTAAACGAATCCTAATTCATCTCACAATAGTCTAATAGATAAAATCCTATTTACCGTCAATCAAAGTGTTAATGGAATGATGATATTGCGACTACTGAAAGTAAGTAAAGTTACAAATAGTTTTAAAAGGAAACTATAGAAGGATGTACGTCAACAGTTTAAAACGGAGACATTCAGGGGTGCCTTTTAACGCACTTTTATCTCATTGTTGGACATTTGGTGATAGGATTTTATCAAATAAAATTGCTGCGCATATCTTGATATTTTTTGGTAGATCTAAAATTGAGAAAATCTTGGCACTTTCAAAAACCTTTTCTTTTATGTCTTATAATTTGATTGATTAATTGATAGAATGTTTGTGCCAATTTCAGCATTATAGCTATTTCGAAGCGGTCAGTTAGTTTTGGTTGAGGAAACCTGAATGCCTATAACGTGTTAGTAACGACCTGTTTACGCATGGTAACGAATAGTTACGAGTAAGTTACGAGTATTTAAGAGTCCGTCTGTTCTGCACCTTTTATACCTTTCTCCAAATCGTAAAGTATACAATCATATATGTTGGGAAAGTACTCGTTACTATACGTTAAGTGCTCAAAATAAATAGTTACAATACGTAAAGCATCGTAACATGCCTCAAATGAAATCGTAAGAAACACGTAAGCACTAATAATGATACATAAATAATCCGTAAACACTTAGTAAACTAACAGTAATACATCTTAATATAGAATTGTTACGAAAAATTTCTGAATTCTTGAGAGCAGTTTACGAATGGTAACGCGGTGTTGCGAACGGTTAACGAGCGCTTTATGATACTTAGCGATTGTTTCGAGTTATTCACGAAAAGTAAATTCGTTTACAATCGTAAGAAGATTTCTTTTGCATGACAAAAACGTTGCCTCTGGTTTCATGTCTCATTAATGATGTACACCTCTGAGGAGCCAAACATTTCTAGAAAATAATTTTTTTTTCTTAACCTGATTTTTGGGTTTATAAGACTGTAAAAAAATAATTGGTGAAGAAAACATCATATGGTGGTGCACTTCTTTTTTTGCTACGGCCCTTTGAAAATACCCAATTTTGATGATTTTCGCATTTTTCATCAATTTTTACCTATCTTTGGGCTATTATCGTGAACAAAATCACAGTTCCACAATTAAACTTTTTTTTCATACTTTCAATAAAGATGAAGTGGACCAATCTGAATACATTGAACTTAAAAAAACTATAGGTAGGTGTTAATATAAGAAAGTTTTATCATATTTTGATGCTTTTTTGTGTCAAATTTACCATGCTGTCAATTTTGTAAAGGAGTAGGTTCAGAAAGACCCCTTTTTGGCCCCAAAATAAAGCAGTCTTACAAAATTGTTAAAATGTAAACTTTTAGCTATTTATTAGAAAGTAGAATACTTCTGTTACATAAATATGGGCTGTTTTTGACAATACAATGCACATGTATCGGGTACTAGCATCATTAAGTCATGCGAAATTACTGAAATCTTCACAATTTTAGCATTTGAGTTAATTTTTAGACGGTTTTCGTCTTAAATGGATGTGGACGCAATTGTGTTCATTCTTAATATTTAAATGTAAGTTGTATTTGATGATAATACATAACATATATAAAGGTTGAGGATGAACACGGATGCGGCCACTTTCATTTTTGACAAAAAACATCTAAAAAGTGACATATTTTGGCATATTTGATGGATTTTTAATATTTAAGCTTAAATATGAGCGTTTTTAATGACTAAATCAGTTCAAATCTTTGACATAAATTAATTGAATCTACTAAAGTAGACCCTTAAGTGTTTAAAAGTGTCCAAAATCTTTCATCAGATGAACCTGAAATTTGGGGCCAAAATCGGCCCTTACCGGACCTACTCCTTTGTGATTTTTCTCAGTTTTAAGAACAAAATGCTAACATTTATTGTAAATAAAAGACTTTTTGGCTGGAATTTCCGATAATATTGATTTTATTAATGCCATGTGTGTAAGAAGGCATTTCTTTGTTTAAGTATATCAACATGAGGTCAAGGACTGCATGTTCAATGCATGATCATCTAATTACATTATCTGATTGGTCAGTTCTTGAGATCGGTAATTAATATCAAATTTCTACATGTGCTCGGACATGCGGTCATTCGCCTTTGTTTTTGGAGAGAGAAAAGATCGTTTTTGAATTTTATCTGAAAAACTGAAAAAGTACTGAAGAAAGGCAGTCATCGAAGAATCCACAGATTATAAGGTAAAAGCGAACCTTAACTATTATTCAATATATTTTTGATAGCTTAATTTTTAATTTATTAATTTTTATAATAGATAAGTTGCTTTTGAACCATGGTCCGGCGTGCCTTAATTTTTGGTAATTTTTTTCTTCGTCGTTTAGAAACATTTACTCATGAAAACTGTGATCGAGGTTGGTTAAATTTAGGTTTAGACGGAACCGATATCCAGGTGGAATTTTTTGGTTTGGGGGGAGGGACTCTTCGCCCCGGTAATAAATGTGTTCAAAAGCAACATTATATGCATATAATTGAAGAGTATACGCCACATTCGGTTTTTCTTCAGGTTGGAGGCAACGATTTATCATCTGAAAATGAGCCCGTAAAATTAGCAAGAGATAACAGCGTTTTTGCCGATTACATAATTAATTGCTATCATGTTAACCACGTGGTTATTGGTCAACTTCTCCCGAGGTATTCCGAAAGACCGGAAACCTATTATAACAACAAGGTTTACATTGTAAACAAAGAACTGAGTCATTTACTAAAACAAAGAGATAATGCGACTTTCTGGCATCATAGGGGGTTGTGGAAGAACACCCCAGATTTATTATTAAAAGATAAAGTTCATCTTAATGATGAAGGTATGGAAATATACGCTAGAAGTGTTCGTGCTGCTGTTGGTAGCCTTTCACGTACATTTTGTACATGTAATGTCGAGCAAACTTGAGTTGCAAACTACCGTGTATGATTGTTATTACTTATTGTTCCTAATTGGAAGGACATACGAAGAAGAAGAAGCATACAATACAATTATTTAGTTATCTATGAATTATTTGCATATTATTACTCCATCACCTTAACGATTTTATAATTTAAAATATCTCTGAGTGGTTGTGCTTATATGCACATGGTTGTGACACTGGTGACATGAAAAATGTCTTATTTATATTTTATTATGGTTGGTTACATCATTTATATCAGAGTTATATAATATAATATGTCTCTGTTTATATTTAATTATTGATTATTTATTCATAATCAGGGTTTATATACTATTATATTAGTGTATTGTTAGTTTATTTAATCAGAGAATAAATCACGTCTTTCCCTATAATGGTTGTGTCACAATAGGGATCGATTTTGGTACAATTGAAGTACTTTATACATATTGGTTGGTTTTAAAAATTGGTTTTGGAGTATTAATTAGCATATCATAATCAAACTTAATTTTAAACATGAGTATATTTTGCTTGATATATCATCATATCAACTATGTTTAATTTGCCGGACAAGCATTTTGGTTTAAAAATTTTACTTATATATATAGCAACATTCTTTAAATTCTGTGATAATACAGGATTTCTATTTTTATTTTTTGTTTTATGTATTTATAGCAAAATGCCAAAGCAGAAAAGCGGAACAAGAAGAAAGGCTGCTCCACAAAACCTGGTAGAGGATGTTCACGATTTAGTGGAGGAACAAAGTCAGGAGTTACCACCAATATACAGGCCACCAGTGCGGAGACGCAAGGCCAGACAAACAGCTCCTGAAAATCTGTCAGTTCGTGAAACAAATACTAAACAGTCGTCTGTTCCAACCGCAAATGACATTGCTGATGCTTTGTTCCTGAAGTTTCAAAGTTCTGGCGTTCAACTTGTCAAAGACAATACAGCAGTTCCAATTAATGACTTAACTGGTATATTGTCGTCATCATCTATACAACCAGAAAATTCATCAACTACTGACTCCCAGGGACCAATGTTAGCTGTCTTTCAACCACCAGTTTCCTCAGATCCTAATATCAACACTCCTTCTGATGGTGAGCTGCTAAACTCAAATGAAGAAAATCCATATGCATGTGAAATGTTGAGTCATACTATACCTTTAGATTACCATGTCAGCAATAAGGTTAAATCTGATGTTTGATGTGATAATTATGTAAATTTTGCTCTATTGTTACCTTCTAATATTGATGATACATGTAATGAATCAACATTATTTGAAAATTTAAATATTACGATTTCAAATAAGAAACCTAACTAAGAGCTTTTGTCCATTCACCAATGGACAAATGCTTTTGATATATTTATGTCTATATATCTTGAAAAGAATTTGAGGTCTGCTAAAGCATTGATAAAATATGGTTTTAATGTACGGTCATTATGCAAGACCTTGGGTTTCCAAGCCGCTAAATTATATGACGAGAAATTTAGGAAGATAAGGAAAATTTTAGGGTTACAATGGGATGAAATAAATGATGAACTTTGGAGATCCGCAGCTTTATATGACAGACAATCTGAATTTTCAGGTCAAAATAAGAAGTCATTTGCCAAAACCTCAAACTCAGGCCCAAATTCTTTTCATAGGAGGGCCCAGCATCAGTATCAATTCCCAAATGGCTATTGCTGGGCCTTCTGTAAATCAGGGGAATGCACATCAAAGTTTTGTAAACTTAAACACCAATGTGTACACTGCAGCAAGAAACACTGTACCCTTACATGTCCAGAGCAAAAAGGAAAACAAGCAAACAAATAAAGGTTGAAAATTTAAAACACTTTTTAGCAGGTTATGAAACACAGTTGAAAGATAAATTGATTCATGGTTTTTCTTTTGGATTTTCAATTAACTCTTGTTTTTCTACATCCCTAAATAAAGAGATTTTTCCTCCAAATCATAAAAGTGCAAGGGAAAATTATCATGTTGTGCAATCAAAACTGAATAAAAAGATTGAAGCAGGTAGAGTTAAGGGTCCTTTTACAAAGCCCCCTTTCCCTCTCTTTGTATGCTCCACTTTGGGTTTAGTTCCAAAAAAGGAACCCAATTCTTATCGATTAATACATGATTTGTCGTATCCTAAGGGTGACTCTGTAAACTCTGGTATTTCCCCAGAATTTTCGGCTGTACAATACCAAAACATTGAAACAGTTATAGATTTAGTCCAATCTTATGGATCAAATTGTCTAATGTCCAAAACAGATATTGAGCATGCATTTCGCTTAATTCCAATTGCTAAAAAAGATCATCATCTATTAGGTTTTCATTGGGACAAACAATTTTATTATGATGTCTCCCTCCCCATGGGGGCTTCGTCCTCGTGTCAGATGTTTGAGTCTTTTTCTACAGCCCTCCACTGGATTTTAAATGCTAAATTTCAAATATATGGGGTATCACACCTGTTAGATGATTTTTTTCTTTGTCGGAAAAGCTGGCTCAAATGAATGCTATAGTGCATTACAAACTTTTCTTTGTCTTGCCGATAAATTGGGGGTACCCATCAAATCAGACAAAACACAACTCCCTACTACTTGCATTATTATCTACGGTATTGAAATTGATTCTACTCAGATGGTAGCTCGTTTACCTATGGAAAAAATTGAAAAAAAATTGCAATTATTGAGTAAATACAAATGTAAACGCAGTTTCTCACTTAGAGAATTGCAATCCTTATTGGGTCTTTAAAATTTGCATGCGGAGTTATCATACCTGGAAGAGCCTTTTTACGTAGGCTTTTTGACCTGACTATAGGCCATACATCTCCTCATTATAGAATCAATCTTAATTCTGATGCAAGATTAGATCTGAAGTTATGGTACAATTTTATTGAAAATTACAATGGTAAATCTTGTTTTTTATTTAAAGAATGGGTTTCATCAGATTTTTAAAACTTTTTTCTGATGCTGCAGGTACATATGGTGGTTTTGCTGCAGTTTTTGGCAGCAAATGGTTTTCAGGTGAATGGCCACCGGAGTTAGTCGATTTACACATTACAGTGAAAGAACTTTTCCCGATTGTGTTAGCTATTGATATATGGGGCCCTCTATTGGCAAATCATAAAATACTGTTTTTAACAGATAATTCAGCTGTTGCTGAAATTATAAATAAAATATCATCTCGGGAAAAGAATATTATGAAATTGATTCGAAGATTAGTGCTAGCTGCATTAAAGTACAATATCTATTTTAGAGCCAAACATATTCCTGGAAAAACAAACGTTATTTGTGACTTGTTGTCTCGTTTTTCATTTCAGGAAGCTCATCAGATTGCTCCTTGGTTAAGTCCAACTCCTGTGGCCATTCCACCTCAATTTTTGCATCAATGACTGATAAGCTTGTTAGTGAATCATTATCTGATGCTACTGTGTCATCATATAATAGAATGCTAAGTGTGTATTCAAATTTTTGTCAGAAATTTTTTCCATGCGTTATTGTACTTCCATCTACTCATGTCATGGTTGCTCATTTTATTTCACATTTGTTTATTCAAAATTATCAACCATCTACAATTGCGTCATACATATCAGCCATCAGTTTTATATATAAAATTCAATTCTTACGGGATCCAACAGACACATTTTTTATTAAAAAAATGTTAAAAGGTACAAAACGGTTGAGACATTCTGTTGATACACGGTTGCCAATAACCTATGATATTCTTGTAAAATTAGTTAAGGCTTTACCAAAAGTAATAGTTGGCATTTATAATCAAGTTTTGTTCAAGGCTATGATGTCTACAGCTTATTTTTGTTTCTTACGTATTGGAGAAATTGCAGTTAAAACTGAGTCTGAATTCTATAGAGTAATTCAAAGGGAAGATATAAAGTTTGAAAGAGTAAATGGTCATGTGAGCAATATGACAATTACTATGAAGTTCTACAAACATAGTAATCTGCAAAGTAAGACATTATCAATAGCTAGACGTCCTGAAAATTATCTATGTCCTGTTAAAGCTATTGAGAAATATCTAAGGTTACATAATTGTCCACTTGGTCCTTTATTTCGATTTAAATGTGGAAAACCTGTTTCAGGTTTTTATTTCAATTCTTCATTAAAAAGATTGCTTAATTTCGTAGGTTTAGACACAAATTTTTATAAAGGTCACAGTTTCAGAATTGGAGCTGCGACATCTGCAGCTGCCAGAGGTGTGCCTTTAGCCTTGATCCAAAACATGGGTAGATGGAAGTCAAACGCTTTTCAACATTATATTCGACTTGATAATTTTCACACTTAGATTTAATATAATCACAGTCGCTTACTAAGTGCTTTGGTAGAGGTCAACATGGCTTGCTTTACCTTATTGTGATTCATTTTTTGTAAGGATTAACAAGACTGTTTTATACATGTTAGAATTATTTACTTTTGTAGAGGTCAACATGGTTTGCTCTGCAAATTTAAGTTTTTGCCATCAGTCATTTACTATATATGTATTTATTTGGTTGGTAGAGGTCAACATGGCTTGCTTTACCTTTCATTTACAAGTTTCATTATATTAGTATATATTATTTTTTGTTTTGTTTACAATCTGTATTAATATTTTTGTAGAGGTCAACATGGTTTGCTCTACACTTTTACTTGAAATGCAAAAGTTAAAAGGTGTATATTTTATTCCATTTTGGGTGTTTTTTGTTGAGGTCAACATGGCTTGCTCAATTTTTCTAGTTCTGGAGTTCCTTAAGTTGAATACAGAGTCCTCGGATGGGGATCCCTCTTGGGATTTGTGGAACTTTTTCAACCCCACCTTTGCTTATTAAAGTCATTGTCATTTATGCAGTACTATGATAATTGTTAAGATGTAAGTTGCATTTTAAATTAATTTCTGAATAAATGACATTTTACTCAACTTGTGTTTTATTAACAGCAAACATAGCTCAGACTCTTTGATCTAGGTCTTTATACAAGGTTTTCTCGTTGTTATATGTGTTTAGGAACATTAGCTGACAAAATAACATTTATTGTAAATAAAAGGCTTTTTGGCTGGAATTTCCGATAATATTGATTTTATTAATGCCATGTGTGTAAGAAGGCATTTCTTTGTTTAAGTATATCAACATGAGGTCAAGGACTGCATGTTCAATGCATGATCATCTAATTACATTATCTGATTGGTCAGTTCTTGAGATCGGTAATTGATATCAAATTTCTACATGTGCTCGGACATGCGGTCATTCGCCTTTGTTTTGGAAGAGAGAAAAGATCGTTTTTGAATTTTATCTGAAAACCCTCCCATTTCCCTCCCTTTTAAGCGTTATTATATAGGACATTTATTTTTCTTTAAACATCAATTAAGGACAATATTCATTGTATTGTTTATATACTTTGTATATATATATATATATGTTGGTGAGTAAATTTTTTCAACTCACTTTTATTTTTGTCATTTTTATGATGTTTATTATGTTAGGGTGTGGCATTTTTTCAACCCCACCTTTGCTTATTAAAGTCATTGTCATTTATGCAGTACTATGATAATTGTTAAGATGTAAGTTGCATTTTAAATTAATTTCTGAATAAATGACATTTTACTCAACTTGTGTTTTATTAACAGCAAACATAGCTCAGACTCTTTGATCTAGGTCTTTATACAAGGTTTTCTCGTTGTTATCTGTGTTTAGGAACATTAGCTGACAAAAATATTATTTCAACTTTTTTGTTATAAATGATTGAAAAAATACATATCTAAGAAATTTGAAAAGACAAAAATGTTATGGGATGTACATGATTCTTGTAAAATCATTTTTTGTACACCTCACCCATTTTCTCAAAATTTGGGCTAAAAAGACTGACTTGATTGGTCGTAAAATTTGAAAACTGGATTACACAAAAACTATCCATTGTAAATACACAATTTTTTCACAGAGTTATGTTTGATTATAATATTTTTAAAATTCATTGATATTTTCCACTTGTATCACATGTTTTGGAAATAATTCCAGAACGAGATTTCAACGAGACTGAAACGTCAGAAGAATACATCCTTAAGAGTTATTTACAGATGATTGCGATTGACTATATATATATATATATATATATACCTACGAATAAGGACTTGTAAACAAAATCCGTGTACGTAAAGGGGGCAAATGGCACGCTTAAAATCGATTCATTTTTATTTCATGGAACAAAAGAGTTTTGTAAAACAACCGTTTAACGATTTAAAATTCTACAAATACAAACTATCTTACTTAAAGATCACCTTGTTATGTGCATTTAGTATATGTTTTCTCTTTCGGACAATTATAATATTTTCAGAATTGTAAAAAAATTCAAAAATTCCCTTTCTACTTAATGTATTAAGGTTTTCTTGCCAGATAATCTAACACACATATTTTTGTGGACATGGTTGTCTCAATTTTTGTTATATTTCTGTAAATTACATTGAGATTACCCCCCCCCCCTTCCCCCTCCCCCCAAAAAAAATTAAAAAATATGTGTATACGCCAATGGTGACTGCAGCCGAATTACACAGAACAAAAAAAAGACGCCTAAAAGGTCAAAATATGGTCTGCTTTATCGGACCAATATCCAAATATTTCGTCATTGATATATATATTTTAACTATATAGTATACATTCTTAACATTTTAAAAACGAGAAAACAGACTTCCGCCAAATCGGACGTATGTGAATTGGATTATCATGGTTTTTTTTCAAAATTCACATTAGTATTTTGGTCTCGTCGGAATGCAAGACTAAGGGATGAAAATTCATAGTGGATTGAACTGTTTATATAAAACAGCAAACAAATCCAGACAAATCATTAGGTGATGTCCAAAGCAGCTGTAACAGCAGATGGGTTTTCATGAATAAGCTCACATATATTGATTTTCTGTCAATGGACAATGTCCGTGTTAACGTTGCTTTTAATAGTTTCATAACGATATAACACCGGGACCTATACAAAGACAAAACCGGGTTCTTATGTAGTAAACAACATTGACAAAATCGGTTCCTTCCATTTTGACATGACCCATTTCTTTCGTTCCATGCACATAAATATAAACATTGAGACGCTCAAAGTGTCACCCTCAAAGATTACACCCTCTAAGTAGTGTGGAATGTTTATTAAGATAACCATCCTGTTGTCCAAGAAAATCACATATTAAATGTGCGTCCTGAAATTTTCAAGGCCGTACACACATGAATAATTACATTATCCAAGTTCGCACACTCAAATTTACATAATTCATATAAAAAACTTATAGAGAGTTTAAACCCCCAAATTTGGATTGCTATGTTAAATAATTGCCATTGAACATTCTAAATTATTACTTTAATCTTCCAAATGCAAAGATTGGTCATACCCAGTCTTATTTTTTTCATATTTGGCACCTTTTTTTCTTCATTTTTGGCTGTCTAGTTTTGGCGAAGAAACCATCCTGATGTTGGGTTAACAGGAATTTCTACTGAGTGGTTGTCATTGACATTTTGTGAACGTTACAAGTAATTAAAACACAGATTTAGTAAAATGAAACATAATTGTTGTTTTTTGTTGTTACAAAACAGCTTAAAAAGCCTTTGAAAAGTCTTTTTGTGGTATTTTCAGGGTATATAATGAAAAACTTCCATATACGGAAAAATTACACTAAAAGTACATCAAGACTTTAGTTTCTAGATCTACTTGCATTACTGGTCAAATCAAATACAGAAAACAATTCATATTTATTGAGCATAGTATTTTACATCATTCTTTTAAAAACAGTCAATGTGCAACTTTATACACAAAATACACATTGACCGCAGTATGGGCTGTAGTATAAATTTTCCTCTATCTTTACAAATTCAGCATTTTTGAATGTTGTATTGAAACTGGAACTTGAAAATTGAATAAATAACATGACTAATACAGAAAAATAGGAAATGAAGTTAAAAAGTCCCTTATAGGGCTAAATTCAGTAAGTAAATGACCGCCAATTTGGGGGAGAGCTTTCTGTATAAAACTGAAGTCCTGTTCCTCCGATTGGTAGATAATGTTTGTAATAAATATTGTTTGATAGATGGATCAAAACCAGAGTTAAAAAAAAAAAAAATGAATGCTGAATGCACTAAATTTTTTTACTACAGGGTTGAAAAGTAATGGGGTCAGTAAAGGAATTAAGTGCGAATCAGCTACACTTTTTGTAAAAAAGGCCATGTGAATGCCCAAAAATGCCGCATGCCCCTATGTTTTTATTGTTGCAAAAGTTGGGGTACATTTGTACTTTAATGAATAATATATGAAAGCTTCTGATTTCTAAAGGTAAATCAGGTATAAATTTAATGAAAGACATAGATTAGCATTAAAGTCAATGGGAGATTTTTTACTGAATTTACCCCCATAGAAAAGAACAGATGTATTCCGAGAAAAATGTAGGCATATCCTGTCTTCCGAAAGACTTTAACATCAAATAATATGTATGCGTGAACCCTCAGGGGTTCACGCAATAAACAGAAATCCTACCTGTTCTCTGTCTGTTGATATTATATACTATTGAGTCCGTACATTTTTGCCGGGGTAGTTTACCAGCCCGATCTACATACTATACTAGAACATTTTCCATCATGACTACTTTTATTATCCAAGTCACTGCACACATAAATGTATGGTATAAGTATGCATATAATGTCAATCATTTTCACTTATTTAAAATATAATGTTTTTAGTAATTATTTAAACATACTTTCTGCATCAAAAGCAAAAGAGGAAACGATATTTCTTTCCATTTAATGTCAAATACTCTGTTAAAACTGCTGTTTGCCAGCGTGATGGGTTAAATCGACAGATACTTTTTTCAATCTTTTACATTTATATGCAGTTTTCGTGTCAAAAGCAAGAAAAAAAAACATATTTGAGAAAAAAAGTTGTTGATGATTAGCGTGTAATTAAGCGTAACGGCCAGTAGAAAATATTACAAAATCTGCATGGATATCAAAACGAACACACGTTAAAAATGAACCTTCTTTACCTTATAAAAATTCCAGGTTACCCAAACTGGACACATAATTCTGGGATCGAGACAATTAACATTGCACTTACAGGTACATGTATTTGGGTCTTAATGTGGTATTGTATAATTTCCAAAACTAGTTTTAGAAAAGCATCATAAATACGCTACGCGCATTCGTGAATACAATTATGTGTTATTCGGTATGGTTGAATAATATTTCGATATTTTTATTCTTTGGTAAGTTATATTTTTTTTTAAATTCACTTTTTTAAAAGTAAATGAAATTGAAAAAGCAGGGGCTTATCTATTTTAAGCTCATTTTAGCTACATGGTGTATGATAGCCAATGAAACAACTGTTCGTCAGAGACTAAATGATATATACTGCGTATACTGCAGTATCCAAATTGAAAATTTAAGGTTCGAAAGTAAAATAAATTTATATTTTCTCTGCTTTTTAAATTAAACTTATGTTGTTATCATGTTTCTAATGACAGAGAAAGATGAATTTTTATTAGTTTTATTTGCTTTGAACTAGCTGTCAGCAACGGCGTGCACTCTCGGGTCTATATTGTGTGTCTTTTGGTTAGTTTTTTTTATACTTTGTATCGATCTGATGAGTTAAACCCTTTTCAACTGATTTTCATAGTTTTTTCTGTTACATCATTGTCCTCATTTAGTTTGGTGCCAGCAAACATGTTTAGCTTCGCCACATGCTGTATGTGCCTGTCCCAAGTCAGGATCCTGTAATTAAGTGGTTGTCATTTATTTCGTTGCTGAACATCACATTTAGGTTTTTTATTTAGTCATTTTGTCTCTGGTGGTCTCTGGTTTTTAAGTAATGCTAGCTGCAAAAGTACTTTTTGACAGATTTTATTATAATCTAGACCAAATTACTCTTGCACTATCCTTGCATCCGTCGTTGTCCGTTAACTTTTACAATTTTATCTTATTCTCTAAAATCACTCGCCCGCTCGGAACAAAACCAATCAACAACAGATAATTACAGTTCTTAGGTTGTGATGTTAAAAACTTGTAATGGAAGATGAGCGCTCACAATATAAAAAACAAGAAGATGTGGTATGATTGCGAGTGAGACACCTATCCTGTAAGGTTCGAATGTAAAACCATCTTATTTGTTTCTCTGTTATGTAAATCACAAAAATGTTGTTGTTATGTTTCTACTGACAGATACAATTAACCATGAGCTCGCAACAACATAGCGCCCGTCGTCTTCCATTAACCTTTACAAACACTTAATTTTTAAAATCCATCGCCCGATCGGAACAAATCCAAGCAACAACGGATTTTTACAATAATGTTGGACATGCCACAGATAAGTTTCACTTGTCAAAACCACAATTCCGTATCGATTGTGACAATGTCGAATGTGAGTAAAATCTTGTATGAGCGACACGACGTGTGTCACTAGTGGAGCAGGAAATTGTTTCCATGGCAACTGTGTAAACCCTTAGCTTTTTTTGCTTTAACGGGGTTCGTGTTGGTTTAGCTTGTTTGTTCAGTGAAACAGTTATATTTTGTGCAATAGAATGTTTTATCATTCGAAGTGTATGTGTTTTCTCAACAGCTAAAAGTCTCGTTTATCCTCGCCTTGTACAATCTTGTTGCAACTTTAATATTCTGTCAAAACTTTGTGTTACATAAGTAACATGTATCGATGTTTTGTGTTTGTATTTTCCTTTCTTGTAAGATAAGACCTTAGGCATTTTTTAATCACTAGTGGAACACAAATTGTTGGCCTTCAGGAACACACGAGTTCACCCTTGGTTTTTTATGGGGTCCTTTATTTTCTGAGCAATGTTTTGTTAATTTGTTTTGTCTTTCCGTCGTTTTTCTTATGGTAATGGTATAACTGTTTGACATCTCGCTCGTTTTGTAAGCAACCTTCATTCAAGTGTCTCCCTTTCGTCAGGTCGATAACAAAGAATTTAAGATGAGATCTTGAATACTGAACTAGATATCCAATGTATTTACTATTAGTGTCATTTTTTTTTCACCTGTAACGGAAGCTGGCGAATTTAAAAGCATATATGTCAAGAGAATCAATGAAAAAGATTCATACAAAAGTACATAAAAGTATTTATTATTATCTAAATATCCTATTAATTAATTTAATATCAAAATCTTTATTATGCGCCTATGAAGACAAGCTTGATAAAACTAGTATAGTCAGAGTCCAGATATACAAATGTATCAAAGAAATAATTCTTAACAATAGAAATTACTGTTTCAATTAAGATTAAAGTAATCTTTGCACGAGTAGGTAGAGTCACTGCATTCTAGCGAACACTCATAACAACTCACTCGACAGGTATTCACACATCTTCTGTACTCATCATACCCTCTACCGCTACGATAATAATTGACATCACATCTATTAAAACATCCAAAGGCAGTCGTAATACATTGCTTTGTGCAGAAAACAGCAGATGTTCTTCCTACTAATATCAAGACGATACAAACTATGGTAACACTTGTCCTCAGTTTCAATCCCATCTGGAAAATAATTAAAGCTAAATTAATGTATTTAAAATTGATGTCTAGTATTTTCACACGTTTTTCAACGTTCAATGTTTCCGTCATTCAAAAGCACTGTAGAAAGATTTAGCAATAGGTTGATAAAGTGTGAATAAACATTTTGGTGCTCATGTTCTATTTTATTGTTACGAAAGAAATTGGTTAGTATATATTGTCTATGAAAGTGTACTACGGCATGGATTTTATAACCTAGTAGCAAGTTTTCAGAGTTTTATGTGTCTTCTGCATGTTTTAATTCTTTGATTATGACTTGCTGTTATAAATGTTTATAATATATAAAACAATTTTCTCTACATATATTTTTGCAGTACGTGTTTTTTTTGGAATACTTTTTAATTTTGTTTTTATAAAGCGATAACATATTTATTCATTATTCTAAACCTAGATACAGAGACTGAAAACATGTAAAATACTCAGAATTAAATTCCGTTACTACGAACAAGTACATATTCAAAAGACTTTGTTCTTTCACAATACCAATATCTAAAATGTTTTATCAAATTGCAGTTTGAATTCATCTCTACAAACGGACCAACAGTCGTTGACATAGTTGATGACGTCATGGAAGGCAAATTTTGTTCTGTGACGCCTTCCTAAGACATCATAAGGCTGAAGCCATTTTCATTTATATTCGAGCGCCATTGAAGAGTCTTATATAATAGACTAAACGCGTCCTTGTCGTACCAAATTTTAAGTTTGGTATCTTTGATAAAAAAAATTTTAATCGATTTTAATGGTGACTGGAGTTTTCTCAAAAGCCTATTATAGACTTAGTAGATATAAAATAATAGTATGTCAATAACAATGATGCACCATGGCTTTAGGTCTTTTATCAAGTATTGTATAACATAAGGAGATGTGGTATGATTGATAACAAGACAACTATCCACCAGAGACCAAATGACGTTAATGTTAACAACTATAGGTCACCATACGGCCTTAAACAATTCAACAATGAGCAAAGCCCATACAGCATAGTAAGCTATAAAAGGTCCCGATATAATAAAATGTAAAACAATTCAAAAAGAAATAAACGACATATGATATGCAGCATCAAACGACGACCACTGAATGACAAGCTCTGGACTTGGGACGGGCACATAAAGAATTTGGCAGGTTTTAACATGTTTGCGAGTGCCCAATCCTTCACTAACCTGGGACATTAATAGTGGTATTACATCACAATTAGACAATTTTAGTCAATTTCGTTAAATAAGGAGTCACTACATTTCATACTTGATTAACTTTGTTTGTGTTTGACTTCTAGTTGCATAAAATAGTATATTTTTTAATTAATTAAAATTTAAAAAATACTTTCCAGCACTAATTCTTCTTTGTGATTTTTATGAATACCGCAAATTCAGACTATAAACAAAAAGTTTGGATATTTTTTTTGCATATTTGTCCAAGCAACTAAGACACTTTACAAACAACAAACCTCATCTTAATCTAACATTTGGTGATACAACACAAACTACATGATATTTCGCAGTAATAATCAAACTTGGTCTAGCCGTTTGGTTTCAAAAAGTGTTGAAATAAGAAGTTAACATTTATCATTTTAAATCAAATGATTATAGTAATTAGATATAATTAAAAATGGAAGTATTGTCATCATTCTATGGCTAGCTTGATAACAGAAGTTTCTTTACGAATAATACTGTTTAAAGACCTTAAACCATTTAAAAGAATTAACTTGTGAGGTTGCCCAACCTTAACGCTGATAAGTGAGAAAAAAAATTAAACCTCCAAATATCATAAGAAAATTATGTTTTATAACCTCAATTCTTATTCATATCCAATTACAAAAAGTAAATAAAGACAATGAAATTGTAATTGGAAGAAGACAGAAAATACCAAAGCTAAATGAAAAGGCTAAAATAACACACAACCGCCAACAAAAAAGTATAATAATTAGACATTGAACAAAATGAAGCAAAAATTGATGTGTAGTGCTCTGAAAAGAATCACAATTTGATCTTCTAGTCAAACTCTTCAAAATCGTACATTTTAAACATATCTTAATTTATCTCATAATAGTCTAATAGATTAAATCATATTTACCTTCAATCAAAGAGTTAATGGAGTGATGATATTGCGACTACTGAAAGTAAGTAAAGTTACAATTAGTTTTAAACGGAAACTATAGAAGGATGTACGTCAACAGTTTAAAACGGAAACATTCAAGGGCGCCTTTTTACGCACTTTCATCTCATTGTTGGACATTTGGTGACAGGGTTTTTATAGAATAAAATTGCTGTGCATATCTTGATTTTTATTGGTAAATCTAAAGTTGAGACAATCTTGACACTTTCAGAAAACTTTTCTTTAATTTTTAATTATTTGATTGATTGGTTAATGGAATGTTTTTATGCTGATTTCATTACTTTTGGCTATTTCGTGGCGGTCAGTTTGTACTGGTGGAGGAAACCTGAATGCCCGGAGAGAACCACCGACTTCGTTAGGAATTCTTCTTTGCTGTGCACTGAATGGGTTATAATCAAAATCTTTTCCATATGCAAATAATGATTCAAATAAACACCACTACCCTGTTTTTTTTTGTTTGCGATATCAAGCGTGCGATGTTTTCGTAAATTATAAATAAAACGGAGGTGTAAGGTAAAAGTTAATGAGACAAAAAAACAATATTTCGATCCTAGTTAAAAAATTCAGAGCTTTTTTCGTTCGAAATTCGTCTGGAATAAGTCGAGACCACTTGATTTCTGACGTCAGGCATATGACATTTGGTATCCATTCGTCGATGTGTTTGAGCTTTTGATTTTGCCATTTGCTTAGGGACTTTCCGTTTAGAAATTTACCTCGGAGTTCGGCAATTTTGTTATTTTACATTTGGATAGTAATTTCCAAAACACAAAATGTAAACATGTGCCTGAGCAAATCATATTCAATCAGAATTCGTTTTCAACATTCAACATTCGTTTTTTAACATTCGATTTCAACTTTCAATAATCATTTTTTTCAACATTCGATTTCAAAATTCGTTTTAAAATTCATCATTCATTCAATTTTCAAAATTCAACATTTGTTTCGAATCGAATCTTGAATGTTGAAATACGAATGATGAAAATGAATGTTGAATGTTGAAAAAGAATTTTGAATATTGAAGTCGAACGTTCAAAAAAAAAAAAAAAAGAAAGAAAAAACATTTTTGAAAAAAAAATAATTTGTAAACGAAAAAACAACAATGAGTCCATAGTACACGATGCCCAACTCGCACTATGATTTTCTATGTTCAGTGGACTGTGAATTCGGGGTCAAAACTATAATTTGGCATTAAAATTAGAAAAATCATATCATAGGGAATATGTGTACTAAGTTTCATGTTGATTGGAATTCAACTTCATCAAAAACTACCTTGACCAAAACATTTAACCTGAACCGGAACAGACGGGCGGACGGACGGACGCACATACCTAAAAACATAATGCACCTAGGTGGGGCATTAAAATGTGAATATCAACCTTGAATGTTGAATGTTGAATATTGAACCGACTTGACATCCAAAACAATACAATTATTAGAGCAACATGAGGCAATAGTTGCAGTCTAATGCTCTGAAAGGATGACCAGTTTTCTATACTAGTTAAACTCGTCAATATCGTACATCCTATCTTACTAATTTTCTAATAGATTAAATCATATTAACCTTCAATTGAAATTTAAATGGAGTGACGATGTTGTAACTGCTAAAAGCATGTTGTGTCGTTGTTCTACTCTTATATTTGATGTGTTTCCCTCGGTTTTAGTTTGTAACCCGGAATTGTTTTTATCTCTATCGATTTATGAACAGCGGTATACTACTGTTGCCTTTATTACAATTAGTTTAAAAAGGAAACTAGATGGATGTACGTTAATATTTAAAACGAGGACTTTAAATTGTCGCTTTTTAGATCTTTAGTGTTTAGACAATCTTGAAACTTTTAATATGTTTTCTTTGATGTTTATTATGTAGGTTTAAATCAAATGCGTTTTCGGATGAGAATAATGCTAAAAAAAAACTCCGTTACTTTGTGTTTGTTTGCTATATTTCACGAATTGTTACGAGCGTATTACGGAATGTTACTATTCATCGAAGTTTTAACGTGTTAGAAACAACCTGTTTACGCGTGGTTACGAATAGTTACGAGTTAGTTACAAGTATTTAAGAGTCCTTCTGATCTGCAGCTTTTATACCTTTCCCCAAATCGTAAAGTATACAATCATATAGTATTATTGGTAAAGTACTCGTTACCACACGTTAAGTGCTCGAAATAACCAGTTACAATACGTAAAGCATCGCAACAAGACTCAAACGAAATCGTAAGCAACACGTAAGTACTCGTTATGATACATAAATAATTTGTAAACACATAGTACACTAACAGTAATACATCTGAAAATAAAATTGTGACGAGTAATTTCCGAATTCTTGCGAGCAGTTTACGAATGGTTACACGTTGTTGGGAACGGTTAACAAGCGATTTATGATACTTACGGATTGTTTCGAGTTATTTACGGAAAAATAAGTCCGTTGACAATCGTAAGAAGATTTTTGACATGACAAACACGTTGCCTCTTGTTTCATGTCTCTTTAGGAATGTCTGCTCAGTATGACGAGTTATTTACTGATACAAGTTAGCTTTTTACGGATGATTGCGATTCACTATAGGTGTCAGACCACCAATTCACCCACTTCAATTTAGAACGCTTGTAAAAGTAGCCCTTCCCTGAAAAAAAATATTGCTTTTGATGTCATTGTTTACTTACACTAACCAACAAATTTGCACAAATGAAACTTTTGTTGAAAGAGACATATATGTAGACTTTTTTGAGCCAAAATTTTCTTGTCCATGACTTTACATTAAACATTGAGGATTAATGCGCTACATAGTATACTTAACTAAGATTTCCAGAAAATCAGGGGTTATTTTTAGCAGTACTTGTCTTCCGAACGCTAGTATTTCCTTACAAGACTTTAAACATAGGTTGAAATTTAGCATGTAGAAAGATGATACATATAATTCAGGATATACGTGGTTTCTTTGAAGCTTAACTTAAGGTAAAATATTTAGAAAGCTGTGAAATTTGCAAAATTTGGTTGAATAGATAGGGATTTTGAATTGGTGGTCTTACACCTATATATATATTGCTACGAGTTGGCGATCCGTAAGGACTTGTAAACAAAATCCGTGTATGTGAAGGGGGCAAACTGCACGCTAAAAAGGCACTCATTTTTATTTCATGGAACAAAAGAGTTCTGGAAAAACAACCGTTTAACGATTTAAAATTCTACAAATAAGTCTTACTTAAAGACCACCTTTTTAAGTAAATTTAGTATTTGTTTTCTCTTTCGGACTATCATAATATTTATCAAAATTGTATGCATCCTTTTAGAATTAATCTATTAAGGTTTTCCTGCCAGATAATCTAACAACATATTTTTGTGGACATGGTTGTCTCAATTTTTGTTATATTTCTGTAAATTACATTGAGATTTTTCATAAAAAGAAGATGTTTGTATACGCAAATGGTGACTGCAGCGGAATTACACAGAACAAGAAAAGACGTCTAAAAGGTCAAAATATGGTCTGCTTAATCGGAATAATATCCAAATATTTCGTCATTGATATATTTTAACTATATTGTATACAATCTTAACATTTTAAAAACTAGAAAACAGACATCCGCCAATCGGATGTATATGAATTGGATTATCATGTTTATTTTCAAAGTTCACATTAGTATTTTGGTCTAATAGGAATGCAAGACTAAGGGATGAAAATTCGTGGCGGCTTGAACTATTTGTTTAAACAGCAAACAAATCCAGACAAATCATTCGATGTTGTTTAAAGCAGCTGTAACAGCAGATGGGTTTTCATGAATAATTTCACATATATTGAATTTCTCTCAACGAACAATGTCCGTGTTAACGTTGCTTTTAATAAATTTGTAGTTTCAAAACGAAATAACACCGAGACTTATACAAAGACAAAACCGGGTTCTTATGTAGTAAACAACATTGACAAAATCGGGTCCTTCCATTTTGACATGACCCATTTATTTCGTTCCATGCATATAAATATAAACATTGAGATGCTCAAAGTGTCTAGTCTTGCAATTTCCCTGTAAATATCTTTTCTTTTTTTAGACTTTGTTTAATTTCTCTTTAAATTGTGCACGTTGTACGGAAAGAAAGATACGGAAAGAAAGATATTAAGAAATATTTTCAGACGATCATAGGAAAGATAACACCCTCTAAGTAGTGTGGAATATTTATTAAGATAACCGTCCTGTTGTCCAAGAAAATTACATATCAAATGTGCGTCCTTCAATTTTCAAGGCCGTACACACATGAATAATTACATTATCCAAGTTCGCACACTTAAATTTACATAATTCATATAAAAAACTTATAGAGAGTTTAAACCCCCAAATTGCATTACAACCTTTAAGTTCATTTCTATGTATTTCGTCGTAAAAGTATTAGTTTTATACAAAGCAATTTGTTTCCAATAAAGCAGCAATTCAAGGGCTTGTGGTGCTGAACATCATATTTAGTTTTAGTTTATTGTTTTGAACTTAAATAAGGTCGTAAGTGTTTCCGATTTGATTGTTTTACATTTCCCTTTTTTTAGCTTATCCGGTGTGGTTTTGTTCTTTTTTGAAGGCCGTACGATGACCTATTGTAATGACTTCTAGGTCATTTGGTCTCTAGTGGTCTCTGGTTTTTGAGTAATGCTAGCTGTTAAAGTACTTTTTGACAGATTTTATTATAATCTAGCCCAAAGTATTCTTGCAATAACCTTGCATCCGCCGTTGTTCGTTAACTTTTACAATTTTATCTTATTCTCTGAAGTCCATCTCCCGCTCGGATCAAAAGCAATCAACAACAGATACTTACCGTTTGTTCTTAGGTTGTGATGTACAAACTTGTAATGGAGGATGAGCGCTCACAATATAAAAATAAGAAGATGTGGTATGATTACCAATGAGACACTTATCCTGTAGTTCCGTGGTTGTGGTTGGTTCATGTCAGTTGTATTTTAGTTTTGTAATTGTTTTGTTATACATTAGACCATTAGTTTTCTCGTTTGAATTGTTTCACGTTTTTCTTGTCGGGGCCTTTTATAGCCGACTATACGGTATACGTTTTTCTCATTGATGAACCCCGTACAGTTACTT